TAGAGTTTCTATTGCTGTGAAGAGACACCATGACAATGGCGTCTCTTCACAGCAATAGAAACTCATAAAGGAAAACATTTAATTGGGGTTTGCTTTCAGTGCAGAGGTTCAGTCCATTATTATGATGGGAAGCATGGTGGCATGCAGGCAGACATGGTACTGAAGGAGCTGAGAATTCTATATCTTTATCTACAGGCAGCAGGCAGAGACTGAATCACATTGCCTCCAATAAGGCCACACTTACTGCAACAAGGTCACATCCCTTAATAGTGCCACTCCCTATGGACCTATTGGGACCATTTTTATTCAAATCACCACACACAGTATCTCTAGGACTGGTCTGACTGGGGATGATAGATGTTTGCCCCCTCCCTTCTCCAAAATGTCAGTGTATCTTGGGTGGGGTTTTGTAATGGTATATCTCCTGACATAAGACCTTTTGAGAAAGTGATTTAGTAGGACACAGTCCCAGAAGAGGTAGGTATGAACAGGTGAGTGGAGGCAGGAATTAGAAGCATGTGAAATCAAGCATGTTCCCACAGAAGGTAACTGTGGCTCAGCCCAGTAGGTGAGCTCTGGAAATTGTAGGAGTCACTTGCACAGGGAACTGTTATATCTGCATACTGACCACTACTCACCCAGCCTATCTGGAGCTGAGGGTGGCTTCTGGAAGAGCAGATTTCTAGATACTTCCCTGTCTCTTCATAAATGCACAAATAAGGTGCACGGAGGGCGGGGATGTTCCTGTAGTACAGGGTCTTCTGCTCACAAGGGGACACAAGGAAACCTCTGTGATTGGAGAGCCCCCAAAGGACAAAGGGATGGAAGAGTCACACATATTCCTCCAACTAGATTTATTAATCTAAACTGTGTTCCCTTGCACAAGTTCTCTACCTTCTTCAAGCTTCACATAACCCACCTTAGGGCCTAGCACTTTCTATGCCTTCTACTTGTACAATTTGCTTCAATATTCTAAATTGGCATTAGATTCTATAAATATGTGATGGCAATATTTCTCTTTGAACCTTCCAATTGCCAATTCTTCACTCTAGCCAGGAGACTATCTCTGCATTCCTCTTGGCTCCTCAGAAAATTGAAAATTGTTGTTATTGACTTCTAGGGGTTCTCCTTCTTAGCCCGAACCCTCTAGCTCCTTCACCCACTCCCTATATGAGGAAGAATTGTCCAGACCCTATATCCTTTGGTTGGCTTCTTTGGACATTTAATGATTCGTCCAATAGCCTCTGAACATAGGGCATTTGGATAGGAAATGACTACAGCCAACTTCAGAGTTGAGGATTCAATCAAGTGCTCTTTGCTTTATCTTATGCATGGGGTAGCAGGCTATAATCTCCTGCATTAGTAAACCATCATCAACACTGTCATCTAGTGAAGATAATAAAGAAAAAAATATAAGAGCTCCTATTTTTAAGCTGTATGACAAGGAGCCATCTTTCTCTTTTGGGTCTCTAACCTCTGGCCTTCAAAATAAATGGGGTTTCTTCTTGCTGTGATTTGGTTGTCCCCCATAAGCTTCAGTTATTACACTTTAATCCCCATTGTGAAGTATGATATTGTGTTGTTGGCAAGATAAAAATGGATGAATACAGCCCTGTTTGGGGGAAAATATTGATATCAAACCCAGCAGAAGTTATTCTTTAGAATAGTAAACTCAGGACATAGAAGAAACAGGGAAGGACTTGTTAGAACAGAACACAGGTCTCAGTCCTAGAGTTCCTAATTTAACAAGCTTGAGATTGAGCTGAGAATGACTTTCTTTTTTCCAAAAGATTAATGTATTTTTATTTTATGCATATGGGTGTTTTTTCTGCATGCATAGTATGTACCACATGTGTGCAGTATCCAAGAAGGTCAGAAGGTTTCAGATCCCTTGGAACTGGAATTACGGGTGGTTGGGAGCCACTAGTTGGTGTGGAAATCAAATTCGGCTCTTCAGTAAGTGTTTTTACTCATGAGCCATCTCTTATGTCTTAAAATGTCTGTTTCTTAACTTGTCCTCATGTAACGGTGCAGGAGAACCATTACTTTGATGCATTCTTTTGATATGGTACTGTGAGATAGCTTTCTTTATTTTTTTTAAAGGATGTATTTATTTTTATTTTATGTACCAGGATGTGGTGGTTCGAAAGAAAATGGCCCCCAAAGGGAGTGGCACTATTAGGATGTGTGACCTTGTTAGAGGAAGTTTGTCACTCTGGGTGCAGATTTTGAGGCCTCTTTTGCTCAAACTTCCCTCAGTGGTACACTCAGACCACTTCTTGTTTCCTGCGAGATGTAGGACTCTCAGCTACTTCTCCATTACCATATCTGCCTGCATGCCACCATGTCCCACCATGATGATGATGGATTGAACTGCTGAATTGTAAGTGAGCCATCTCAATTAAATGTTTTCTTTATAAGAGTTGCCATGGTCATGGTGTCTCTTCACAGCAACAGAAACCCTATGACACAGGACTTGCCTGTACATAATAGATATACTTGCCTTATCTGTGTACCAAGTGCATACAGGGCCCAAAGAATTCAGAAGGGGGCATCAGAGCCAGTGGAAGTGGAGACACAAATGGTTGTTAGCTGCCATGTGGGTGCTGGGAATTGAACTCTGGTCCTCTGAAAGAGCAGCAAGTGTTTTTAACCTCTGAGCCATCTCCCCAGCCCTGGTATTGTGAGTTTTCATAAGGCTTTATTTAAGAGATGGAGAAGAGAAAAAAAACCCATCTCTTGTGCTAGACCCCCAGAGACACTCAGACTCCCAGACACTCCCTTCACACTCACTTCTCTCTTATTTTAATAATGGTGTGAATGTTGAGTTACTATCTTTTTAAAAATAATAAAATGATGGCTCACAAAATTTAAGATACTTGATTTACAGCAACATGGATCATATTGTAACTGGAGTCCAGGACTCTTAGGCTGGGCTAGAATGACAACATCACTCATGATTCTGTCTGTCTCTGTCTTTGTTTCTTTCTCTTACACACACACACACACACACACACACACACACACACACACACACACACAGACACACACAGACACACACACACACACACACACACACACACACACACACACACACACACACCCTTTTTTTCCCTGGAATTGCATATTCCAAAGATAAAATAAATTCCATAGACACAAAAATAGTCTCAGGAAAAATATGACAGCAATATATGAGTTTTTTCTTTCTACTGCATGTGTGTTACTGTTTATTATTGTATTTTCACAATAAACTTAATGTGTCAATTTCTAATAATAGGCTTTCCATAGAGGTTGCCAGAAACCATGTGCTGGAAGGAAGCATATTTGAATTGAAAGGAACCAGTGATGGCAGATGAGAAAGAGACACTGCCTTTGGTAACCTTTAGATGGATGGATTGGGTGGTATTGTATATATTAATTATAAATCACCTTAATTGTATCTTAAATTTGCTACCCAAATGATCACAATACATTTTTATAACATTTTTTGGTGTGTGTGGTATATGCATGTGTTCATGTAGGTATGTGCACATGTATGTGTGTCGAGGCCAGAGGTTCATGTCAAGTTGCTTTCTTGATTGCTCTCACATTATTTTTAGAGAAAGGGTTTCTCACTGAACCTTGTGTTCACCAATTCAGAAAGACTAGCCCTTAGTGAGGTCTAGTGATCCTCCTCTCTTGACATCCCCAGCACTATGATTTCAGGAACACACCAACAGGCCCAGTTTTTCATATGGATGTTGAGGCTCTAAACTTGGGTTCCCATGCTTGTGTATCAAGCACTTTACAGGCTGAATCATTTACTCACCTCAAATAAGTAAAACATTTTCAGTGTCCATTGTACCTGTATTTTTTTTAAATGTGTAATTATTTTAGAGATGACAACTATGAAATTTAGATTTTTTTCTAACAGGTCAACTCAGGGCAGGTAGAGTGCTGTGGGTGAGTAGCATTGCAGCTTGGATGTGGGGTTGAGAAGGCTGCTTGTAGAGATTTAGTTCTATGTTTTCTTACAGAGATGAAGGTAGATGGAGCGGATTGGCAACAGCAGTTCACAGGCCTGACTAATTGGTGAAGGGTTCAGAGAAAATAGTAGAGTTCCAATGGGTATGCTGGGCTGAAGAGCTAGGCTCTCAGAAGAAGCTCAACCATACCAAATGGAACATGGGCTATGGCTAGTGTACTTGGGGCACCCTGTGTCTGAGTAAGGTGGGCAGTAGTGCATGTGACTGCATGTGAGAGCCATGTAGGTTTGGTCCGGTTAAAGAGTTGGGGTCGCAGTTGCAGCACTAGATGTTGGACAAGGTATTAATTTCTTTTCAGAAGGCTCAGGTCCACCAGACCCCACAGCCAGAGCCACGTATGGTCACTCATTTGGTTCTCTCGGCCTTACTGGTATATGTCTTACCCTTGCTGTGTAAAAAGGAGGAAAACAAGACTTTCTCCTTCCCTACATCTGTTCAACACAACACTGCTTGTGGCAATGACCAAGACAAGGGCTGCAGATACTAAGTCCAAGAAACAGCCCCTGCTCTGAGGAGTTGACAGTCTAGTAGGGGGAGGATAACTCATAAGGAGATATTTTCAACCGAATGACCATATCGACATTCCATCAGATCTACTCACCACTGTATGTGAAAGCTGGATTACAAGGCAAGCTTCTGGGAAACCCTATTGTTTTGGTCAGAATATATGTGTTCTCTCAAAATTTACATGTAGAAAGTTAATATCCAATGTAATATCTTTGAGAATTGTGGCCTCTGGGAAGTGAGTAGGTCACTAGGGCTCTGCCTTGGTGATAGGATTAATACTTTCTGTCTTTCTGCCATGCAAGATGCAGCAAGAAGGCACCATCTCTACACAGTAGAGTCTTCCCTAGACACTGAATGTGCTGGTACCTTGAATGTTGACTTCCAGCTTCCATAACTATGAACAATGGCTTTCTTTTGTTTATACAGTATCCATTTAAGGAATGGCCCAAGATGTCAATTTAAGACACACATCTACCACAATTTAAACACAGAGAGACTAAATTTTTTATTTAATATTACTTAATATTGCACAGAAATAAAAATACTAACACTATATAACCATTACTCAAATGACAATGATTTTCTTGGGTTGACAGTTACATTTTCTAAACAAGGTCTTACAAGCACACATAATGTAAAAATGTCTTCAGTTAACACACATCATCACCTCTTCACTGGCAAAACATGTTAGGTTGGGCCAGCAGTAAACACATTATTTCGATGGTAAGAGTTTCAGATCTTTCCACAGTCATCTTTTCTTTGTAATGTGACATCTTGAATACAAATGCACAGTGATGAGCAGTTCTGATGGATGTGAGTTAATACAGGTATGAACAATGTGCTGTTCAAAAAACCACACTCAAATCTTAAGTTAGTAAAATGGTAAATGTACTTTATCACCTTTTAAGTAAAGTGTGTTGCATGATTTGATTTTTATCATATATGAGGTTACATAATATATAGCAGGAAAGGAACCCTGGATTCTTGACCAAACTCTCTAACTCAATATTCAAGGCATTCAGACAAACCATACTCTGTCTGGAGCTTGTTTGGCATATTTGTATAAAAGGAAAAATGTGATTTTGGAGGAAAGGGCCAAGGTTTGGCTTAATGATCCCCCAAATTCCTTCTAGCAAAATTTAATTAGGTTGAGTGAAGGGCATTTAGATTTAAAATGGAGAATTGTGTAAAATGAATCATAGTCATATTTCACTTAAAAAAAACTTTTTTTGAGACAGGGTCGCACTGTGCACCATTGGCTGGCCTGGAACTTGCTCTGTAGACCAGGCTGGCCTCAAACTCAGGGATCCACTTGCCTCTGCCTCCTGAGTGCTGAGACTAAGGGCATGTGACGCCACACCAAGTTTATGTTTCCCCCCCCTTTTTTTTTTTTTTTTTTTTTTTTTGGTTTTTCGAGACAGGGTTTATGTTTCCCTTTTGAACCAATCATTTTAATAGTGTCTTCCATCTCCAAAGGAACAACACTCTCCCTGAATCTATTGTACTTGTAATGGCAGGAATTTCTGTTGGAACATTTTTTTAGAGTTAAAGGAGTACAACTCCAGCCCCTACCTACACTCTATAATTTGGCACTTTAAGTTATAACTCAATTCTATCTTTGGCAGCAGAATCACTTTCTAAAAGATTTGTCTTTATTTTAGATGTCTGAGTGTTTTTGCCTGCATGTATGTCTTTGTACAACTTGTGTGCTTGCACAGAGGCCAGAAGAGGTTGTTGGATTCTTTGGAACTGGACTTACAAATGGATGTGAGCCACCATGTGGGTTCTGGGAACTGGACCCAGGACAACAGCAAGGGCAGCAAGTGCTCTTAAGTGCTGAGCTATCTCTTCAGCCCCACAGAATTTTTTTACTAATATTTTATGAAATTAAATAATTGCATGTAATCAGAGACCTTATAAGAACTGATGGCTGGCCAAGCAGGAAACGACAGCGTTTTATCCTTCCTAGGACTTTTTTCTTCTATGAAATACAACCCTGAAAGACTCATCTAGAACAGACTGCTGGGGGAGGAGGGCGGGGCTGCTTTTGAAAGCCTGGAAAAGGAACTGTAGCTGAAAGCAAAACGAAACAGAAACCTCCAAATTGGCAAGAAAGAGCACTTAATGAGTTCGTAAAACCAGAGCAGGATGCAGGCGATGGACAGGGGTCTCTGCCATCATTTCTGCGTTGGGTGTTTCTTATAAAAATAACATTGTGTGTAGGGGCCCTAGAAACCACAGCTCTCCTGAGTTTTGCGACTCTACTGTCCATTATCTTGTCATGGCATTGAGGATGCAGCAGGCATCCTCAGGCATAGGGCACGCCATCCTGCTCAGTGTTTGAGGGGACCCTCTGGCCCCCCACGGTCAGATGCTAGATGTTACATCACAGCCTGGAAAATCAGAGAAAACTAGAAGGATTTTTTTTTTTGAGGCGTTGCCACTCAAAAATAGACAACTCAAGTTAGTTACAACTTCTTTCTCCGTGTTGCAAAGAGATAGGATCCACAAGAATACCAAAGAGATCTCCTCTGGGGTCAGAAGGTGGGGGGTGGGGGAGGGTGGGAGCAAATTCTGTGGAATGTGAAACAAGGCAGCTTGGGAGACTCCGCCTGCCTTAGGAAAGGCACAGGCCCCTGAATCTCACATGGGTGAGTGCAGGTGAGGGGGCATGAGAATCTGGCCCAGAGACTGGGGTTCCCTCTTAGCTCTGGCTAGAGTCTTCTCTGAGCTGAGGCCTCCTCTTAGGTGTCAGTGCACAAAATCGCCACTTAATCCCCTTTGCTCCCGACTAATTAGGACACATTCAAAGCCGAAAGTGGAGTTTGGGGCTTCTTTCTCAGGCATAGGGGCACCAAGAGCTCTCTGGTCCTGCTCAGCCAGACACACCTCCCAAGGCATCACCAGGCTGAGAGTCCCTAGGGACTCTCAGGTCCTTTGTGAGCTCCCCCACGTCATCCTGCTCAGTGTTCCAGGGGACCCTCTGCCCCCCCCCCCCCCCCCCCCCGCGGTCACTGAAGGCCAGTCGGGTCACAGAAGTCAGTGCCCTGGCTCAGGAAGCTTCCTGCCGGGCCCCTGGGCAATATGCAGCCAGCAGCTGGGGCGCAGGGCGGGTCGGGTCGCCGCGCGCCAGTGAGCCAAGGCGAGCACTATTCCTGTCACTGTGAGCTACCGGCATGTTATGTGCAGCGCGCCCAATCACGCTTCCAACCTTCTACGCTGACCTGCGCTCCCCCCAATGCCACGGGCTTTGATTTGATCCTCTTCTCAGAACAAGCTCACACCCAGCCCCCTAGCCAGTTGTCTTCGGACTGCGCGGGTGTCCACAGAACAGGTCCTTCTGCTCCATGGCCGGGAATTCAGAACCACCATCCTGCACCCCTGGAGCACCCACAATAGGGCCACATCCACTCATCTGTCCTGTTGGAGATCCAGCACCCTCGCTGGTGCACTGTCAGACCGACCTCTTCGGGTGATGGTGCAGGCCACCGCCTCCCGTGGCGTGCAAGTGTGGGCTCCCCAAATTGTGGAGGGGAAGAGGCTTTGGGCAACGCGCTGCCATGCTCAGCTGCAGCTGAAGCCAAGCCTGGTAATACCGAGAAGACTCGGAAATCCACACCTTCTGCTATTAGAGACTTCCGGATATTGTCTCTAGAGCATTTGTTGTCTGAGACAGGCACCGAACAACTGCCAGATCTGGATGAAGGAATCCTAGGTTTTAAGCTGAGCAGGCAAAAATCGGCCTTTGCTGGGGGCTCTGCAGCTGGACAGCGGAGGTGGGAATCGGTGCCACGGGATGCCTCCAGCCCCGCCTAGCTGGCTCCATTTCAGCTTCCCGCCTTGGGCATCATGAGTTACTTCCTGTCTTACTGCAAAGCTCACGGCAGCTCTCTTCTCACAGGCTACCAGGCCCTACGTGCTGAGGGCTTCTTGTGCGACGTGACACTGGAGGCCGAGGGCAGTGAGTTTCCAGCACACAGGTCACTTCTGGCATGCTCCAGCGACTACTTCAGGGCCCTGTTCAAGAGTCACACTCAGGAATCACGGGCTCATGTAATTCACCTGCATGTGCCTTCTGCTACTGGCCTGCAGCGCCTGCTGGACTTCATCTACACCGCCTGGCTGCCCCTCTCCATGGACACTGTGGAGGACACCCTGGAGGCAGCCAGCTACTTGCAAGTCACGGAGGCCTTGGGGCTGTGTAGCCACTACCTGGAGCGTCAGCTTGCCCCAGAGAATTGCTGCTTCACTGCCAATGTGGCTGCTCGCTTTGGCCTGGCTCGCACCCTGGGTGCAGCGGAGCGCTGCATCGTGCGCCACCTGCGGGAGCTGCTACTGATGGGCGCTGGCCCTTCGGGGCTGTTGGAACTCAACCCTGTATCAATGAAGGTTGTGTTGAGTGCCCCTGACATGGCACAGGTGGTTGAGACGCGGCTGCTGGGCCTGGCACTAGCCTGGCTAAGGCAGGAGCCCGCAACACAGCGCCTGGCTCACAGTTCAACACTGCTTGGATGTATCCGCTTTGGCTTGGTGCCCACAGCTGTACTGAGGCGTGTGTACTCAGGATCGGGACTTACTTTACCTACCAGGATCAAGGACCTCATCATTCAGGCCCTCAATTACCACACAACACCTTCCCGCCAGCCGCTCCTGCAGGTAGAACAGACTAGTGTTCGGAGTCCCCAGACCCGCATCTTGCTGGTTGGTGGTCTCAGAGCTAGAGAGACTGTTACTGAGGAAATTGTGGTCCTACCAGAGGTAGTTAGGAATCAGCGCCCTGCACCTGAACTGGAGGAAGAGGAGGAAGAGATGGAGGAGAAAGAGTGGGAGCTCACCCAGGATGTGGTGTCCTTCGACGTGTACAACCACAGCTGGCGCAGCCTGACACGGCTGCCCACACCACTGCTAGGCCACAGTGTGTGTACCATGGGCAACTTCCTATTTGTCCTCGGAGGGGAGAGCCTTTCTGGCAGTCCATCTAGCTCCCTGGCAGACGGCCCAAGGTCGGTCACGGCCTTAGTGCACCGTTATGACCCGCGCTTCCACACTTGGACAGAGGTGCCCGCCATGCGAGAAGCGCGGGCCTACTTCTGGTGTGGAGTGGTAGGCGACAGTCTCCTGGCCGTTGGGGGCCTGGGCTCCTGTGGCGAGGCACTGGCCTCGGTGGAGATGTACGACCTGCGCAGGGACCGCTGGATGGCAGCTGGGGAGCTGCCTCGGGCACTGCACGGTCACGCGGGTGCCGTTGGGGACCACGGTGTTGTGTACATCTCCGGGGGCAAGGCAGGGAGAGGAGAAGGAGGTACAAGCAGCCTCCGGGATATGTATTCCCTCAGCCCCGGAGAGAGGGCATGGAGTAAGAGGGCACCCATGGGCACAGCTCGCTATGGGCATTACCTTGCGGTGCTGCGAGGTGCAGTGTTTGCCTTTTTAGGAAGATATGAGCCCTTCTCCGAGATCGAACGCTACGACCCCAGCACAGACCAGTGGACTCGGTTGCGGTCACTACCTTACGACCGATTCTGCTATGGACTTGCTGTGGTAGAAGAGACAGTGCTGCTGCTGGGTGGTCTCAAGTGGCGGGATTCACGGCAGGTGCCAACCTGTAACGTAGTGGGCTATGACCTTGACCTGGACCGTTGGGAGGACATAGGCTGTGTGCTGCCCTGGGCGTGGAGTGGCCTTCGGTGCGCAGTGCTGCAGCTGGCAGAGGGTGGGGAGGAGAAAAGGGAGGGAGAGCCTGGGGAGGGACTAGATTTAGTGTTGAGTTGAACAGGTGAGTCCAGTCTTCAGGGGAGCCAAGAGAAAGTTGTTCTTGACTTTGCCTGCAGAGCTAAGCCTCACCCCCACCAAGATTGGGACTCCGATAGACAAGTTCTGAAGGGTAAGGAGGCAAACATGACTTTGGCCAAAGAATAACTATTCCCCTTTAACCGAATGGCAGTTAGGAAAGGTCAGACGCAGTGATATGGAACAGCTTTAGTCAATTACAGCGTTTTCAGAGACTCACCCTTGGCTAGAGGTGGAATTTGGAAGTAAAATAGGACCTTATTGCCCTCCCGAAAGTGTTTTCCAGGTGCCGGGGATTACTTTCATGACTTCCCTCTAAAAAAGTACGATTAGTTACACACAAATCACAGAAAATTGTTGGCTATAACAGCTGTAATAGTCCCACAAGACAGTATTACCTGATGAAGTTGTGAGTGTGTGTGTGTGTGTGTGTGTGTGTGTGTGTGTGTGTGTGCATGCGCGCACGCGTGTGCATGAGAGCCTTGCTTAAATGGCGTGGAACAGTTGTACGGAGGAGAATGATTTTTATGGTGCAGGGCCACGGTTATAGATCTGTTCTAACAGTTTCATATCGATACGGAACTGAGAAGGAAAAAAATCTTGGAAAAAGCATTTCTGTGAGAAACTATTCTTAGTTAATTTTGAATTTTTTCTTCTGTTCTTTCCCCATCTGCTTTCACACTGGCTAGAGGCAGCTTTATAGTTTAGACATACTTCAGCAACCCTTAACCACAAAATGCTACATTTGTCAAAAGAAAATGAGCTTCTTTTTGGTTTGCTCCCTCCATCCCCCAAAGGCTCACAGAAAAGGAATGAGTAGGTGAAGTCTACATGGTCATGTCAGGCCAGTGGGAAGACAGCTTAGCTTGAGTTTTCAAGGTCTCACAGGAGACCTTGGTAAGCTCCGAACAGGTGTTACTTCTGGCTTGTGCTACCAGTGAGGTGGCAAAGTGAGAACTTGTAAGTGGGGTGGTGGTAGTGAGGGTGGCTGTGTGATTAGATCACAGAGAAATGTGGCAAGCCCTCTGCATGAATAAAGTTGGGCTTTATAAGGGTTCAGTAAGAGCTGGATTTATTTGACTTCAGTTTATAGTGCTGCCTCTCTCCTAGATTTGAAACTAATGCAATAAAATGTACAGATATATAGTGTTAAAAGGTCTCTTTCATGCTAGGCTAGTCACGAGTCCTGTAAAATTCATTAGTTTAATTTTTACCAGTCAAGTAGCAGCTGACTTTACAAAAGTAGAAGCCGCTTACTAGCAGCAGAGCTAGTTTTCCCACCAACTGCTTGTTGTTTGGAGGCTGTTTGTCCACTGTATACGTGACACATCCATCATTTACAGATATTTTTAAGTGAAGATACACATTGGTCTAGTAAACATCAATATGCCTAAACAACTGTAACAAGCACACTTCATTTTATGACAAGAGGGTTTTTTTGTTTGTTTTTTTCTCTCTCTTTCTCTCTTTTACATACACGAAATCCCACAAATTTAATGTGTGTCAATAACCATGCAGTAAATAAATGTTTTTACAAATAGGGTTTTTTTTTTCAATGATAAAAATATTACACTGGACCCAAAATTCCATACAAACATTAATGTGTGGTTTCTCATCCATTTGACTAAATATAGGATTACTGAAAATGTGCTGTAGAAAGGCCACTCTCCTGTACAGTTGTGCAAAGTCTGCAAAACGATAGTGATTTAATGTGATTTCAAAAGCAAAGAAAAAGATCCCACTGTGTAGGTTTTACTTTCTTCTCTACAGCAAAAATATTCACTGGCATATATCTGAACTCTTAGAGATATAAGTACATTCACTGAGCTGTACAGGCAACAGGATAAAGCTGATCAGAAGTAGATTTTAGGATATAGAATAGTAAAGGAGGGTCTCTTCCTCCTGGAAAAACAGCAAATTGTGACTTGTACATTATGCAGCCACACACTAAAAAGCAGCAAGTCACTTTCATGCTGTGGTCACTTTCCAAAACTAGACACATAGAAATGGCAATATATGAAGAGGACTTTTCTTAGACTCCATCCACTCTATAAACAGTTCAGGACTCTAGGAAAAACCTCTGAGTGCTTAATCTCAGGTCACTCAAAGGAATGACTCCCTGAATGACTGCCATTCTCTGTTCCTTAGCAGAGAAGTCTATTAACATTTGTCACCATTGTTTTCTCTACTGTAACTTCTATCTGTGATGACTAAATGTATTTTACTTCCCTGCCTGATGTATAATTACAGGAGTTTAGTTAACAGACCAAGGGAAAATTGGAAACTGCCTGGAAAATTGACTCATTTCAGTGTATACCTTGTCTTTTAAGAGTTAAGAGTTCAAAAACCATGAGTTTGGGCTGAAATTATGTATATATATATATAGATGTATGTATGTATGTATGTATAGCTGTTAGCTGCCTTTCTGGGTGAGTTAAGTCTGTTTTAAAAAAATCCATTCTTAAATTCTTCTGTACACAATCAGCATTTCATCACTACAAAAATAAAGGAAGATTTAAACCAAGAAAATAAAGCAGCTCTATCTTCAATTTTGGTCTTAGTTACAAAAACATCTTACAAAGCTTTGCCCTGATACACCATGCAGTGTTCTCATAGATTTGGAAGAGTACCTCCATTAACCAGTTAGCACAAGTTAATAGACTATTAAGACGGATATTAGCTACCTGAACTTTTCTTATGTTGATGCTCTTCTAGTTTGCTTAACTCTTTCATACGCACCTACATTTCACAAAAATAAAACTACAGCATTAAACTTTGTGCAATGTTTAAGAAAATTCTTAGAACATTTTAATAAATATAAAAAGGTTTAAATTCTTTCCCACCCACAAGGATGTCTGCACCTGAAAAAATTGTGATTTACGTTTGAAGTATCATTTATAGAAAATTAACTTAAAGGGAGAAAAGATGATTTCAGATAGAAAACTGCCTTTTTGGGGTTTTTCTATTTGAAGATCACCTGTATTTAGAATTGTTTGTAAAAGTTAATTTAAGTCATTAAAGATAGTTGATTTTGCACATGGTAAACATAAGCTGAGCACTGACTGCATATAAAACATACAAATGCTCATTAAAGACAGTGGTAATGTGACCATGTATGCTTTGTTTCATATAGTTTGGTAACATTAAAGTATAGCTTGTCAAGTGTCCAACACATTAATAAAAAAACTACCTCATGTACTTGTTCAGAGTACCAGCAGGTACTAGATGGCCTCAAGTCAGAATGCACTTACACATGTGTCTCAATGTATGAATGAGTATGTGTTAGAGAGGAAGTGATAACATCTACTTCAGAAGAAATACTTAGTGGATCATTTGAGGTGGTGTTTTGACAGATATCCAAGAAAAGGTCGAGGTACATCTGCTTCCATTGTTGGAATTCTTTAGATGTCAAGTCTGGATTGTCTAGGACTTTATCAATAATGGCTACTTCCCCTTCTCTGGCCTGAAAAGCAAAAGAATTCAATAGTTATGATGGAGGTGAACTTTTATTGAAATTTGAAACAAGTCAGTGAGCCAATAAATCCAGAAACTTCTAAGAGACAGATTCGATATGCTCACATTCAGTTATTTAGACTAAAATCATGCTGTATCTTTTTCTAACTCAGTGCTATGTCTTGGATTGCTTGTTGTCTGATTTACTCTCGGCCTTTCCTATTTGCCATCTGTGCTTATGGAAACCTTCATGTTTTAAGAAAACCTTCCTCAAGTTGTAAGATCCAGCTTAAAAGTCTCTCCTTTCTTCAAACCTTCTTTAAACACCTGAAAAGAAGCTTTTCTCTCTCTCTCTCTGATGTCTCTGTAACATCCTATCTCTGTCACCAAGTGGACTTACCACTGTATATCTCTCAAGTTACTCTTCCTTCATTATGGTAAACTCCTCATGCCCCAGTGGGAGGAAGCAGCCCCCTGTTGCTGCAAATACAGAATTCTTGCCCTGGAACTATTATGGAGCCCTTCCCATAACACTGGGACCTGAGAATGAATAGTCCATTTCATTTTATAGGCTGGGATTCAGCTGACGACTAAGCTTCATTTTGGTATGACTATATGGGTATAACTCTCAAAGGCACAAGCATGAAATGTAGAAGAAGAGAATTTCTCCTGTGGAAGGTAATATGGAGAAAGGATTAGGACAGTTTGAGAAAACCAGTCCTGTCTTTTATGGATCTAACAGAAGGCTTAGGGAATCCTGGAAATGTTCTGCAGGAGTGAAAAGGCACACCTGTGTCAGAGTTTGGAGGGAAAGAAGACAATATTATGCCTAAGAAGCTGCTCTGGCCAGTAAGGAGACAAGATACTAAATAGGTATGGGACTGGTGATTCTGGGAGTTACCTATGGTGGGATCCAAGATCTAATTTTGGGCTTGTTCATGTATTTCTCTGTAATGAAAGATTTTTATAACATTACTTTTCTAAGCCCCAAAGTACAGGGTTCTATAGCTTCTCCCCACTTTTGAACCAGCAAGGGACATTTCTTCTTAGTGACTTTCTTCATTGTCTTTCCTTGTCTTAGAAGAGCAGGAGAGTCAAAAACAGCACCATGTATTTGGTGAGTCATTGATTCTTCTTGAACCCAACATTTACAGAGGCTCATATTAATTGTCATAGGACAAAAATATTGTAGAATACTTATAGTGAATAAAAGATAAGAAAAGAAGCCGGGCAGTGGTAGCGCACGCCTTTAATCCCAGCACTCGGGAGGCAGAGCCAGGCAGATCTCTGTGAGTTCGAGGCCAGCCTGGGCTACCAAGTGAGTTCCAGGAAAAGGCGCAAAGCTACACAGAGAAACCCTGTCTCAAAAAACCAAAAAAAAAAAAAAAAAACAAAAAAACAAAAAAGATAAGAGAGAAAAGGAAGTAGGAAGTAAAGGGAAGGAGAGAGAGAGAGAGAGAGAGAGAGAGAGAGAGAGAGAGAGAGAGAGACAGAGAGAGAGACAGAGACAGAGACAGCATACAAGGAGCAGGTATTTAAGATATTCACATATGGCAAAGAGGGGAGGGACAAAATGAACTCAATATTTCTGCAGACCTTTTGTCTCATATTGCATGGTTTGAACTTCTTTTTGTCTTATTTGTCTTTTGCTTGTATATTTCGGTTTCAGATTTGCTTTTGTTTTGTATTTCTTGGTTTTTTTTTGGTTAGAGAGAGAGAGAGAGAGAGAGAGAGAGAGAGAGAGAGAGAGAGAGAGAGACAGAGAGAGACAGAGAGACAGAGACAGAGACAGAGACAGGGTATAGAGGATCTGGGAGGAGTTGGAAGAGAGGAAAAGCATGATCGGAATAAGTTGTATGAAAAAAATTCAACCAAAGAAGGCAAAACCAAAATAAGTTAGGAAGGTGAGGATATCTTCAGAATAGAGTTGGTCAGTAGAATCAGTAGAATTACTCTTATGACTATTATAGCTCTCCCTAGAATTGTGGTATTAGCTACCAAAGTCCATTCATTGTTCTGTGCACTTATACAAATACCATTGAGTTAAGTAACTCTGAATCCTTGGCTGTTATTACCTGAAAATGCTTCAAATCATCGATTTTTCTACTGCATTTATCTATTTAGTACTCATCTCTATTCCAATACTACCTTCTTAGGAGGATGCTGTGGATTTAAAACACTCCTCAAGGAAGCCCTTTGACATTTTTTTTTTTGGAATTACTGTGCTACACATTCTGTATGATTCTTCTTCTAGATATTTTGTTTTCAAATATCTTTTTATGTGGTACAGGCCCTGTTCAGGTAGCTTGTAAGATGTCCTTACCACCTGCTTCCCAATCTAGGTGTGGCACAAGAAGAATGAAAACACTGTTAATCACTTACAGAAGTATATATTGGGAAGGTAATATGTGTGTTAGGAACTGATCAAGTATACAGAACAATTATGCAGTCTCTACATATGTGGAGTGAAGCTTATGCAGGAAATATTCACGGAACATTTCAAGCCCTTTACACATTCTACACGCATACCATGTGCCTCTACTATCTTCGATAAATATATATATGACATGGTAAACTTCTCTTAAGGAATCAAAGGACTAAGGAGTAGCAGTAACCCTACATTTTGAGAAGAAAGTCTTAACCACATCCTGTTTTCTTCTAAAACTAAGTCATGTAGCATTTAGTCAGCGACTTAGGACTTCCGCAAATATAATCGACAGGATTCCCTTCCCAGCACTCTGCTGCAGGTTCTTCCTATTTCCTTTTTCCTTCCTCTAGCTCCCTATTTTGCACCACTTAACTTTTATAGTATCTGGCAATCTAGTTTCAATTCAAGAATGAATCACCCCAAAGGAATGTATCTGTCCATTTCCTCCCTTACCTTTAAAGTGCTTTTAAGA